GGGTTTAAGAACTCTTAATTTAAAAGCTTCCATGAAGCTGCTTGTAAAGCACTTGCTCTAGACAGTCACCAAATGTGACTGGTGTTCGCTGGGTCCTGTCTGAAGGGATGGAGTGAGGCCACTGATTTCTCGTGGATGACAGGCATGTTTCCCTGGAAAGAGCATCGGGTAAACAGGCAGGCAGATCCCAGAGACAGCGACCACATAGCTTGCTGTCCAAAGAGGACACTTTTAAGAGTAAAAGGGGGCACTGCTGATAATTACACAGGCTCAAGCCAGGACTGTCCCTGGTAAACCAGGACATATGTCACTTAGTTACAAATGGATACACTCAGCAATGTCGGCGTGGAGCCGTTAACAAGGAGGTTCTGCAGAGCCCCGCCTTTCTGTGCTGAGGTTGGACAGGGCACACGTGGAGGGCCGCAGACCTCGGGGGCCCCGGGAGGCGGCTGCGTGGCGGGCTGATGCCTGAGCTGACGTCTGCTGAGACCACGGGACCAGACACACCAGCCCGGAGTGTCAAGCGCAGAGATGCGTGCCTGCGAATGAAAACTCGGGGCCAATGTCAAGTCTACTAAACAGAGTCGTAGACAGCTCCCGGGTCTGCCATCCATGCTCCGGACGTAAATCAAAGGGCATCTTCCAACGTCAGCGGCATGGGAGGACTGGCCACTTCTCATGCCTCAGGGTTCCCTCCTCAGTCACACACTTGGAGAGTAATTACCGCTGGTGGTGTCATCTGAGAGTGATGCTGGCTGGGGTGGAAGCTGCGGACACAGGGAAACGGAGGGGCTTACAGGCACCCTGGTCTAGCGATGCAGCCTGACCTCCTGTCATTTACATTTACTCCCAGGATCACAGGGAATCACGTAGAAATACCTTCCCTTTGAAGTGTTCTCTCTCAGGATTTATATAAAATGCCTTCTTTCTTTGCCTCCAGCAGCTGTGTAATGCAAGCGTATTTCAGCCTTACATCTCTGCCAGGGGAAGAGGCCTCAGGAGATGTTTCTAAAGAGGTCCCAGAGGTAAGTCGATGTTCACAAGAATCTCCTATTATTAGGACGGCTCAAAATTCTGAATAATGTGAGCCAGCGGCTTCTGAAGGCCGGGGAACCATCTGCTCCTGGGAAAGACTCTGTAACCCTCAAGACGGGAACTCAAAGCAGAGGGGACGTCATAGCTTCGCCATCCACGCTGTTCTGGTCCTCCCCTGTGTGACGTCCAGGGCCAGAGGTGTCACCCGGAGGTGGGCGTGGCCATCCCTGACCGGACCGATGGCTTCCTCACCCAAGCGTCCTTGGCTCCTTTGATGTGTCTGACACAAGCTTTATATGCCAGTCTTTCCAGTAAGAGATTCCTTTGTGCGCTTTTGTTTTGGAGACAGTTGTGGAAGAACTGAAATAGGCATTTGCACGTGAGGGCCAGAAGCACAGAAGAGAGATTTATATGCCCTTTATTTTCTGGCTGCCTTTTTTTTTTTAAACATATAATTGCCCTGAAAGGACAGGGTGTCAAGTGTTTTGCTAGAAAGTGAACAGAATGGACCTAACGCTCTCTTTCATTGACTATAAATCCATTTTCATTACGTGCTATGCATTTATTGTATAAAGCTCTGTGTTACTGGTTCACAAAAGAATCCTGGAACTTGCATGATGCTCTGAGGCCTCTGATATAATGAATACATTTAAAAACAGTCACGTGATCATGTTCATATTTTAAAGGAAATAGCAGTAGGTGTAGAGGCCACACATTGTTACTGCCGTGGTATTAACTCAGCCTTGGGGCACAGATAAATCCCACAGTCAGCTCACAGCTGGTCTCCAGCCATTTCTCAGTAAATACATGCAAAGGATTGAAAATATTAACTATGTTCTAAGTTCTGGCAAAACCGCTTCTAATGATGGAGAAGTAGCAATTTCCGAGGCCAGACCACATTGAGGCTGTGTTTCCTCCCATTCTGATAGAAGGGTAGGTCAGACCTCCCCTCCTCCATTGCTAAATTGGGTTATTTCCAGGAAAGAGAATCTCTCTGGTTACTGTTCAGTCCTTGTACCCCAGTAAATACACAAACCTACATAATTGTCTACTTTTCAGAGTGATAAGACAGGTATTTTAAGTAAGTGGAGACCCGCCCTCCGGTGGTACCAGGGACGCCTCCTGAGATGTCCTGACTGGACTGCGAGGCCCTTCTGCCCTGGGGCAGATTCCAAGGCTTCGTTTTATTCTACCTGGACGCTCCCCCTTTGCACACATCTAACAATTGCTGTTTGAAGTTTTAATTTTGGCTTATAACATCTCAGGCTTCTCTTGAAAATTTTTTTTTAATTTAAATTTAAATTTTTTATATTCCATCCTTTTAGTCAAAGGGGAGGTAAGATCCAAGAGACAAGGCTCTCTGAGATTAGGAAACCAGCCTCGTCGGTCCCAGGTGGCACACTAAAAGGACGCCGCATTCAGGCTTTCTCAGGGGACAGTGCCAAGCGTGCTGTGGCCAGCTTCCCACCATTAGAGCATCCTGACATATTGCATATCCGGGCCCTCCAGGGTGCAGAACCCAGGCTGGCTCCTTGCTGGAACTGTAAATGGCAGTCAACTGTTTAATGACATAATGCGGATTTTTATAGGCTCATCTCATCCCACAGCCAGACTGCTCTCTGAACACTGGAGATAAATCTTCGTGCACTCTCTGGAATTGTTGAACACACAGGTTAATTTCTCACTATCGATTTTCTCCACTATGCATCTTGAATGCCTCCAGATCTCTTGACCTAACACACACACACACACACACGAAATCTCTGCGACTGTCAGTTTAGAGAGAACAGCTCTTCAAAAGAATGCTTGAAAAATCAGTAAAGGTAACAAAATAAGTCTTCCCAACTATTAGCCGGGCAGTTTAACTGGACGTTCTGATCGGATTTCAGTGAGAGAACAAGATGGTGAACATTTACAAGAAGCCATTTTGTACGTTAAAGCTTCGGAACGTGAATGCTGCTCCTGTCTGCAGCCCCAGGCAGGCGCGCTGTGCTCATCTGGGGACTGAGCCCTTCACGGTAAATCAGGAAATAACCAGGACCTCCCGGTGACAGAGTGAGGCAGCACAGCACCGACGGAAGAGCCCTGGGCTCGGGGTTGGCAGACCCATCGCCCTGCAGCCATGAGGACCACTCTCCCTGTGCTTCTGCAGTTCATCCGTAAAAACAAGGGGACTGGGTTCCAACAGTCTTCCCAATTGTAAAGTTCCATGCTTTTTTAAAAAATCCAAGACAGTATGTACATTTTTTTATTCATATGAAAACTGAATTAAAAGAAAACCAAAGCAAAATAAAGACTATTTTTTCTACCTGGAAAAAACTTGAGAAATGTATATATAACAACTATGATTCAAACAAAACAAAACAAAACATGATTCTGTCCTCGAGAGACTCACCTTGATCCCTGTATAGTCCTCCCCCACCCCCGTTGTTACTGAAAAGTAAAACAGTTCTTTCAAGGGTTAAATGTTCCATTTAGTTTTTTAATCATCCCTTTCTTCATTCCTGAAATATTGTCCCATTAACAGAAAATGGGATCAGAAGCACTTTATTAATGGAAATTCCTTCTGTGTGCTTCCAAAGAGAACAGAAACATTATTAACATCCACAACATAAAGCCAAAAAAATAACCAGAACACCCAACCCAGGGCAAAACCAAACCAGCTCTCTGCATCACTGAAGTGTGCCAAGCCATTTTCAGTCGTCACTTGGAGTGTAGATTTATTTGGATTTAAGGATCTCCTAAACAGGTTACATCAACCCCACTCCATTTCCTTCCTTAATAAAACTATGACAGGACAAGCAGCAGACTTTTAAAATTCTAAAAATAATAGAAAAGTAAAAGTAGATTTCCTGGGGAAATTCCTCTCCTAAACCTTACTGGGTTTTGCTGCATCCATGAAATCTTTCTCTTTGGAGTAACTGGGTAGCATAGATTTTTGTTTCGTTTGGTTTTTGTTTTTAAACTGGATTCATACACGGGCACTGAATTTGAACTTCAGCTGATTTATGGGGCACGAACTTTTGTGGCCAGTAAGTTACCTCTGCTGTTAGAGGAAAATGGCACACGAAAACCAAAGCATGGGACCGCTGGAAGTCCATTTCGTGATGTCATTTTGTGATGTAATTTGTCTTAGATAGCACACTCTCATTTCAAAATAAAACGATAAACAGAATGGTATGAGCACTCTAGAATCTTGTGCAGAACTTTTGACCCATTCTGGTTGGAGAATGGCTAGTTCTGGACCCACGGTGTCCATCCTCAGGTTATCAGATCGTCACGCGCTCCACCTCTATCCCTCCCCCCACCCACCCACTTAATAGGATCCATTCATAGCTACTCACTACTGCAGGATTTGACCTGAGAAATGCTAGGATTTATTAACTCAGCAGGTGTTTGGAAAGGTCCCTAAATAATCTTTGCCCTTGGCCAGCAAGGGAGCTCACTGCTCGTCTCAAGTTCTCAGAAGCAGCTGGTGAGGGTCTCAGCCAATTTCTTCAGGTGCGGGAAGTTGTTCAGGGCAGCCTCTTTGACACGGCATTGGCAAATCTTCCAACCAGGCTTCCTGGATCTAGGAAATGCTATTCCTGACTCCTTCGACCCAGATGCTGGCTAAAATTTAGTTCTCATAATCTGTAGGTAACCACTCTTTCCTTCTTCCTTTGTTTCTTTCTAGGAGCTGGCATGGTAGTTAAATTTTTCTAAAACAGTCATATTAATATGTTCAAAAATCCACTGCTGCGTCTCGGACAGGGGGTCACATCTGGCCATGAAAATCTTCTTCTCTGCAGGGTTGCAATCCATGCAGCTGTCGCTCACAGGATGGAATAATGTTCTGTCCTGGAGGGAGGGATCGGAAAGAAAAGCCTGATATAACATTTGGGTGAATGGTTAGAACCCAAAACAGAATAGAGGAAGTAAAACAACACTGCTAATGTTTCAGTCAGTATCTATCAGGAGTGTGAAAAATTGACCGTCTCCCAAATCAAACAACAGCAGGTGGGGTTACCACAAGGAAAGTGGTTTCCTTGCCGTGAGGTGGCTTGATCTCAAAGCCAGTTCAGCCAGAAACAAAGAATTCATTCATTTCACTGAAAAAAATTTTTAAACACTCCCTGTAGTGGGGAGGGTATAGCTCCAGCGGTAGAGCGCCTGCTTAGCATGTGCAAGGTCCTGGGTTCCACCCCTAGTACCTCTGTTAAAAAAAATTAAATAAATAAACCTAATAACCCTCCTTCCTTCCAAAAAAATCCCCACAATCCATTCATTTCCTAGTGAGTGGTAAGCATTTTCTACATGCTTGAGTTTTGAAGATGAAAAGTATGTGAGGTTGCTTTTCAAGTAGCTCCTAATCCAGCTCCTGGGGGAGAGGTGTCGCACAGAGCTGCCATTTACCCTGTAATAAACACCACCGCCATGGCAGGTGCGTGCCTACACGGGGCCGGAAGAGTCATGATTTCCCCTACCCTTGTCCTGAGCCTCTCATGGGACAAGGACATGCACAAGGACTAGGAACCA